TTCAATGTTTTTCCCTCCCGGTTTTTTGCAACATGTTTCAAATGAGAAACTACACTGGCAAAATTTTAGCTTACTCGAATGTACATAAAATGCCTAGCCTGGCTTTAAAGTTGTGTAATACTGAACATGATGCTCTAAGAATATTGGTAAAGTAAAAGGAAGCAAGGAAGAAATGAAAGTTTCAAATGTACCTAACATTATATTATAGCCTTCAAAGTCTAAAATACTTACTGTTTAGCTCCTTAGAGAAAAAGCTTGTTGATTCCTGATACCAAATCAGGGACATACAATGTATTTTCACATACAGACAGAAATATGTATATATATATATATGCATATATATATATATATATTTTTTTTTCCCCCCCTGAAAGATTTGAGTCAATTACACAAACCAATGGAAAATACAGTAGATGTATGTTTCTCTACCTAAGCACAATCAAGTGAAAGTGAAAGCCGCTCAGCTGTGTCCAACTCTTTGCAACCCCATGGACTATACAGTCATGGAATCCTTCAGGCCAGAATACTGGAGTGGGTAGCCAGTCCCTTTTCCAGGGGATCTTCTCAACCCAGGGGTCGAACCCAGGTTTCCCACATTGCAGGTGGATTCTTAACTAGCTGAGCCAGGGAAGCCAAAACCCTTGTATATTAATTACAGCCGACCCTTGAATAACAGGAGTGTGAATGGAGTGGGTCCTTTCAAACAGTGATTTTCCCCCCAGTAGTAAATACTACAATACTTCACAATCTGCTACACAAAACCCTGGGCATGAACTATAGCTGACTCTAGAAAAACACACATTTCTACTAGGCAGGTCCACTTCCACCAGGATTTTTTTAATTTCCAACAGTAAATACTATAATACTATGCAATCCACGCTAGTTGAATCTGTGGATGCAGAATGGGAACTGTGGACAGGGATTTTCAACTCTGTGGAGGGTAAGTACCCCTAACGCCCACATTGTTCAGGGGTCAGTTGTATATACAAAATAAACATAAGACTTTGAAGGGTTGAAGAAAGGCAGCAGAATGGCTAGGACCTTCACGACACAAAGAATAACACAGGAAGAAATCCTTGGGGTTTCTTTTTGCCTCAAATATCTCAGACTTGGAGCTGAAAAAGCCGGCAACCTGAAAACTCCAATGGAAATATTAAAAAAAATAAAAGAAGTCTGAACAAAAGCCTGATCTCTAGCCAAGGGAATAGGAAAGGGGCAGCCTTGCAAGGCAGAGACTTTTAGAAAAATAACTGCTTTATTCTAGACAAGCACCAAAGGAAAAAGCTGTGGTTCTACCACCACCCAAGCCAGCAAAGGCCAACTTCCCCTACCACAGTGGTGTCAAGAAGGCCAGTTAAAACAACAGGTTTGGGGACTCCTCTGGAGGTCCAGTGGTTAAGACTTCGCCTTCCAATGCAGGGGGTGCAAGTTTGACTGCTAGTCGGGAACAAAGATCCCACATGCCTGCGGCCAAAAATCCAAAACATAAAACAGAAGCAATATTGTGACAAATTCAACAAAGAGTTTTAAAATAGCCCACATCAAAAGAAATCTTTAAAAACAGAACAAAAGCAGGTTTAAGATCCAAATCTCAGGAAAATACCCAGTTTCAAATTGAAAATCACTGGACATACCAAGAATCTGGAAGATATCAAACGGAATGAAAAAAAGACAATCAATAGACACGAACACCAAGATGACAAAGATGTTTAAATGATCTGGGAAAGATTTTTTTAAATGCCATGACAAAAATGTCTCAAAGAGCACTTAAGACCATCCTAGAAACAAAGGAAACAAACAGAAAGCTTCAGCAGTGAAACAGAAACTCTCAGCAAAGAAAATGTAGAGAAGAATCAAGTGGAAATTCTGTACCTTCAACATCTAATATAATAAAATCAAAAGTTGAGTGGGTGGATTCAATAGCAGAATGGAGGGACAGTAAAAACAAATCAGCAAGCTATAAAAGAACAATAGAAATTGCCTAGTCTGACCAACACAGAGAAAACAGACTGAAAAATTAACAGAATTTCAGGGATCTCTGGGATTATTTTAAATGACCTAACATTTGGGTAATGATGGTCCAGAAAGGGAGGGGAAAGAAGATGGGGATGAAAAAGTATTTGGAAAAAACAGTGATTGAAAACTAACCAAATTTTGCGAGAGACATAAATCTACACATTGAAGAAGCTGTGTGTGTGAGTCGCTCATTTGCGTCTGACTCTTTGCGACCCCATAGACTGTAGCTCACCAGGCTCCTCTGCCCATGGATTTCTCCAGCAAGAATGCTGGAGTGGGTATAGCCTTTCCCTTCAGGGGACCTTCTCAACCCAGGGATCGAGCACAGTTCTAATGCACTGAGCCCTCTCGTGCAGGAGGATCCTTCACCACCTGAGCCACCAAAGAAGCTGAATGGTCCCCTAATAGGACACTCTCGAAGACACCCACGAAAAGACACGTCACAGTGTAACTTCCGAAAACCAAAGGCAAAAAAAGAAAGAAAGAAAAGACGGCCAGAAAGAAAACAACAGTTTACCTAAAAACATCTCAAATGAGAGCAGATTTATCATCAAAAATGCACAGAGGCTAAAAGAAATTGACTTTTTTTTTTTTTAATATTGATAGAGAAGCACTGTCAACCCTGAATCCTGTACCCAGAGAAAATATATTTTGGGAATGAAGGGGAAATCTAGACTTTCTCAGATGAACAACAAGAAGGAGAGCTTGTTGCCAGCAGACGTACTTTAAGGGAATAGTTAAAGGAAGTTCTCCTAAGGCAAAGAAAACAGTAAAAGAAGGAACTTTGGAATACTGGAAGGAAGAAAAAATACAGTGAACAGAAATGTGAGTAAATATAATAGGATGTCCTTTTCCTCTTGAATTTTCTAAACTATGTTTAAGAGTTGAAGTAGCACTTCCTTTGTGGTCCAGTGGTTAAGAATCTGCCTATCAAATCAGGGGACAAGAGTTCGATCCCGCCTCCGGGAAGATTCCACATGCCACAGGGCAACTAAGCCCATGCGCCACAATTACGGAACCCACCCTCTAGGGTCCACAAGCTGAGTCACACAACTGCTGAGATCATGCACCCTAGAGCCCATGCTCTTCAACAAGAGAAGCCACTGCAATGAGAAGCCCACACAATGCAGCTAGAGATTTAGCCTCCACTTGCCACAACTAGAGAAAGCACACGCGCAGCAACAAAGACCCAACCCAGCCATAAATAAATAAATAATTTTTATTTTTAAGAGTTGCAAAAAGTAACAACCACACATGTGGTTCTAAATGTATATAGAAGAAAGATTTAAGATAATTATATTTTAAATAGGGGGTTTCCCAGGTGGTGCTAGTGGTAAAGAATCTGCCTGCCAATGCAGGAGACACAGGAGATGCAGGTTCGATGCTTCCTGGGTCAGGAAGATTCCCTGGAGTAGGAAATGGCAACCCACTCCAGTATTCACATTTAGAAAATTCCATGGGCAGAGGAGCTTGACAGGCTACAGTCCACGGGGCTGCAGAGTTGGACGTGACTGAAGGACTAAGCAGCAGCAACATTTTAAATATGAAGAGCAAAGGGACATAAAGGGAGGAGACTTCACTCAAACTGGCAAGATGAAACCAGTAAACGGTGACAAAATTATGCAAAGCTAATGTGATACACCTACAGCAACCACTAATAAAGCTACATAAAGTAGCATAATAAAAACACTATAGATAAATCAAATGGGATTTTATAAAATGGTCAGGCAACCCACAGGAAGTCAAGGGAAAGGAAACAACAACCAACTACAACAGAACAAATAGAAAATAAAAAATCAGAGAGAAGACTTATGCTCTAATATATAAATAATTACATTCAACGTAAATGGTCTAGAAAAATGAAGTAAAAGACAGAGGTTGGCAAAGAGAACAAAAAACATAGACTATATGCAGTCTATGAGAAATTCATTGTAAGACATAAAGATATACACAGATGGAAAGTAAAATTTGGAAAAACAAGTACATGATCTTAAAATCAATGAGAATAAGAAAACTCCACTAAGGAACTAAACACTAACTAGAAGAAAAAACTTTTAACTGAAATATAATTGATATATATTACTTTCAGATATACAACATAATGTTTCATATACATATATAACTGGGAAATATCACCACAATAGTCTAGTTAACATCCATCACCACAAATAGTTATAAATTTTTTCCTACGATGAGAACTTATAAGATCTACTCTCCTAGCAGCAGTATTATTAACTATAGTTACCATGCTTTACCTTCCCAGGACTGACTGACTTTTAAATTAGAATTCTGTACCTTGAGACCACCTTCACCCATGTCACCCATATCCCTCCACCTACATCACCCCCCACCAGCAACCACTGCCTGTTTTCTGCATGTATGAGTTTTTGTTTTTATTTAGATTCCACTTATAAAATAAGATCATATGGTACTTCTCTTTATCTGACTGGCATAATGCCTTCAAGGTCTATTGATGTTGTCATGAGTGGCAGAATTTTCTTTTTATGTCTGAATATTACTCTGTGTTTGTGTGTGACATTTCCTTCATCCATTTATCCATCACTGGACCCTTAGATTGTTTCCATGTCTAGGCTATTGTAAATAATTCTGCAGTGAACGTAGAGACATAGATATCTTTGTGACTTAGTGTGTTTCTAAAGTACATATTGCTAGATCCTACGATTGTTCTGTTTTTAATTTTTTGAGGAACCGCTATACTGTTTTCCATGGTAGCTATACCAGTTTACACTCTGTAATTCCAGTTTACAGTACACAAGGGTTCCCTTTTTTCCACACTCTTGCCAACAGTTGCTATTTCTTGTCTTTTTCCTGATAGCCATTCTAACAGGCATGAGATGGTATCTCATTGTGCTTTTGATTTGTAGTTCCCTGATAATTAGTGTGTGGAGCACATTTTCATGTACCTCTTAGCCAACTGTATGTATTCTATGTGATGTCTCTTCAGATTCTCTGCTCATTTTTTTAATGACTTTTTTGCTCTATTGAGTTGTATGAGCTTGTCATATATTTTGGATTATTACCCCTTATCACATACATGATTTGCAAATATTCTCTCTGATTCTGTAGGATACCTACTACTTTTTTATTTTTCTTTTGTTTCTTTTGCCATACAAAAGCTTTTTAGTTTGATGCAGTCTTGCCTAATTGCTCTGGCCAGGATTTCCAATACTATGCTGAATAAAAATGGCAAGAGTGGACAACTTTGTCTTCTTCCTGATCTTGCAGGAAAATCTTTCAGCTTTCCACAACTAAGTATGATGTTAGCTGTGGACTTGTCATACATGGACAAGCTGAGCTGTCATACATGGACTTATTATACATGGACAAGTTATTATGTTGAGGTATGTTTCCTGTATACCTCTTTTAATAAGAGTTTTTCTTATAAATGAATGTTGAATTCTGTCAAATGCTTTTTATACATTTATTGAGATGATTGTATGATTTTTATCCTTAATTTTATTAATGTGGTATAGCATATTGATTGATCTATAGATGCCAACTTATCCTAGCATCTCTGGAATAAATTCTGGTTAAACATGGTGGGGGCTCCTTTTAAGTATTATTGAATTTGCTTTGTTAAATTCTGTTAAGGATCTTTAGCTCTTGTTCACTAGGGTTACTGGCCTGATTTTTTTTTCCTGTTGTGTCCTTGACTGGTTTTGGTATCAGGATAATACTGACATCATGAAATGAGTTTAGAGGTATTTTCTCCTCTTCTGCTTTTTGGAATAGTCGAAAAGTATTGCTATTATTTCTTCTTTAAATGTTTAGAAACATATAAACCAAAGATCTATATATGGGAATTTTATTCTTAATTAGCCTGGTAAAAAAAATTAGAAAAAATTAGAAACTACAAACTTTAAGGATGGAAGACTACACAAATAAATGATTCAGAGAATACAATCATTAAAATATCTATATTTTGGAAAATATTGAACAACTTGAAGAAAATCTGATGATGAGGAGGAGGAAAGCTACAAAATATTATTTAATATTAGGTCAATATTAAATATAAATTTTAAAAAGTCAAACACTAAGAAGTTATATACCAAAATGTTAAGAATAATTATATTTATGGAATGAAATTAGTTTTTAAATTTTATTTTTAATACTCTTCTGAATTTTCAAAAATTTCTAGAAATAGGGCAAACTTTAAATAAAATACCAGATAAGTAACAGATGAACTCAACCAAACTTCCCTCACCCCCCTTTTTCCCTAAAGTGGACCAGCACTAAAGCTCTTCCATCTTTCTTGTTTTTTCTCTTCTCCCCAACACTGAAAGCAGGAAGTATAAGAATTCTGTAGGTTTTTCCTCTAGTGTCAGCAGAGTCATGGCTTTTCAGGGTCTGGTTTTCTAGCCACACTCCACTTAACTTTTATTGAAAACCTCACAAATGAAACTAGGCTCCTCCTAAGTTTTTGTGTGATCATTTGGTTTAAAGAAATTAAAGGTCTGAGGAAAGCAAAGTCCAGGTTTTTGGGTAAACCACGTGGGTTTGGAAAACTGGGCTGGTGCAAAGCAGTTTTTCAAAGTGCTATGCCCTGCGGCAGGGTAGTTTTCAATAAACATAAGTAGGAAATATTTAAATAGCACCCAATTTACTTTTTAGTCTCATAAAAAGAGAGGGTTGAAAGAGTGGAGGTGCAGATATGGCTCCAATATAAACCAGAGCTGAGCCAAAACTCAAGGAGGAAACCCAAGGAGGTTACCTGAAGTTTGTGTTATTTAATCTGTGATGATAAAAGATTCACAACTTTTACTCTTCTTAGCTACGACTACATTTACGTATAAATTTATGTACAAGATAACCTACTGAAGGATACTGCTTGCTTTGGACAGGAAATCCTTAGGTTTCTTCAGTGGTTTCTTGTATTATTTTTACGAACAGGGAAAACATTTTTCATTACATTGAAGACCTCAGATAACCTGGAAAAAAATGAAGATGCTTAAATAAAGTCCTTTAATGAAGCAGGCCTACAGATGGACAATGCACAGAATCCCTCACAAGGTGACATGTAATACATGATTTGGAGTTCAAGGTGCTGACATGGATCCTAAGTAAATGACACTGTTATTTCATCCAATAAATGATGAAATCTGAGATTAAAATAATAGCAGGAAAGTGTGTCTTGCTCAGTCCCTGGTAAATGATTTACCTCCTAGAAGCCTGGAATTATGCTTCAAGCTCTCAGCCTCTTGGCCAACATGAATGTGTGGGTGGGGAGGTGGAGTGGGACAGAGGACAGCAAGCCCACCCAACTCCTGGAAATTTTAAAGAAAAGGCAAAACTTTCCAAGAGTAATAGTCATTTTGGTAAATGAAACCATTTGTAACTTTAGAGGGTTTTTTTTTTTTTTCTTTTCCTCCAACATATCATAAAAAAATCCACACTGTGCTCTAATAGGCTATAAAGCTTTGGTTAAAAGAAGGGTCAACAAGAGCTAAAACCACTAATGTCATACTTGAAGAAGGAAGAGTGGAAGGCAGTGACGCCCCAACACTTTCATGATCCCAATGAAAAGTCTCACCCAGGCTAAAAACTATCTGCCAAATTTATGCCAAGAACAAGTTTTACAGCCAAGCTAAATTCTTCTGTGCATATACAGAGTGTTATAAAAAGAATGACCTATTCAGCATCCCTGGGAGATATTTTCATTTACAGGAAAAAAAAAAACAAAAGAATTATCAAAACAAGAAGATAAACTGAAACAGAGACAGAAGGGGAAAAAAGAAGGCAACGGAGACAATGACATATCAAGACAGAGTCCGAAACAAATGTAAACAGCCAGTCTAACACAATTAGGAGAATGACGGCTCCTCAGGCAAACAAAATGGCTGTTTCTTCATCTTTTGTAGGCTGAGCAAAATGTACGTACACACAAAAACAAATACAACTCAAGTCAAATCCAACTGGGCAGGACTATTTTGAGGTTCTTCTTTGTTAAGGAGATGAAGAGGCTTGAGCAGTTAATTTGTGTTCTGTCATTCCCAACAAAAGCCCCATGAAATGGCTAATTTCACCTCACTACTTAAGTCATCATTTTCCCTATTAGGCCACAGTGACGAGTACCTTTCCCTGAAAGGACTGTCAGAGCTGCCTCAGCATAAGGCACGTGTATCCACACAGCACAGGGTCACAGATTTTAGAATCAGAAGAGTCTTGAACATTTAACTGAACAAATTTACTGTAGGAATCAATTGAAGATCAGGAAATGAACAGTCATACTGTCACAATCTAAACAGGGGAGAAGTGGGTGATGGAGGAAGGAGTGAGTGGGTGAATAATTTCTATGGTTAAGACCTGAGATATCAGAATCCAATCTAATACACTGTTATATATATCCTTCAAGAAAATTATATATTAACTAAGAATACAAGCTCTTTTGTAAATCAACTATACTTCAATCAAAAAAAAAAAACAAAATACAAGCTCTGTAATTAGACTACCTGGCCTCCAAGCTGGGATCTACTTCTCCTCTTCTTCCTTGGGGATCAAATAAGGACAGCAGCATAATCATTCTCCATGGGAAACATGACAGACATAAATATATTTAGGAAAATCCCAAGCGAATGTTTTTTGCCAATCCAATACTAAAGAGGAAAACAAAATCACTGGGATATAGTAAAAATCTCTCTTCCTCCTCCTATTATTGAAATAAACAAGGGGAGAAGAAAGGGTTTCCCAGGTGGCGCTAGTGGTAAAGAACCCACCTGCCAATCCAGGAGACATAAGAGATTCAGGTTCAGTCGCTGGGTTGTGAGGACCCCCTGGCGGAGGGCACAGCAACCCACGCAAGTACTCCTGCCTGGAGAATCCCATGGACAGAGGAGCCTGGTGGGCCGCAGTCCCTGGGGTCACACAGAGTCAGACACGACTGAGCGACTAAGCACACAACAAGGAGAGAGCTAATCTTTAATGAATCCTTGTTATGTATTCAAACCATGGTCAGAAGACATACAGATGTTACATCTATTGACTCTCATACCATGGGAGACAGGTATTTTCATACAATTCTGAAGAACAAAGAGCCCGAAGGTAATACACCTGGTTGGCTACAGCTGCTGCTAAGTCACTTCAGCCGCGTCTGACTCAGAGATGACATCAAACTCCCATCTGACCAATAAGGTCACGCACTTCTGCTACACAACTGTCCATCCCCAAATGCATTTATCAAAAATATATTTTAATAAAGATCTATGCAAAACATGTTCACAATAAAGAAATTCAGATGGCAAGGTCAAAATGGGAAGTAGTATAGTACCCATAATTTCTCTAAGCTGTACCCCTTTACTCTAAAAAAGGGAAATTTTAACAATACATGTACCTCAACAGATCTCTATGAAGAATAAAGAAGGTAATGCATGTGAAATGCTTAGCAGAGTATGTTAAGCAATCAAATGTTACCAAAACCCACTATTATTCATTATGCATGGAATTTAATATGCAGCACAGAAACTAAATGGGCTACACATAACTCAGTATTTAAGTAGAGATGCTAAGTATCCTATTTATTTCCCTTTACTTATATAACTTTCCTCATATAGTGCAGTTAGGTTTCCTTCATAAGTAAGGACACATATCAAAATTATATTAATTTACATTAATCTTGATGATCACAACCTCAAATAATTTTGTCTCACATAAGTATATCTTTTAATTTGCATATTACTATTTTTGTGAATGTAAATATTACTATAGAGTTTTCCTTAGTAATTTTTAAATTTTTAAAACCCTATTATTGGGACTTCCCTGGTGCTAAGTGGCTAAGACTCCATGCTCCTAGTGCAGAGGGCCTGGGTTTGATCCCTGGTTTGGGAAGATCCCACATGCCATGTTGCATGGCCTCCCCTCAGCCCCCACAAAAAAGTATTATTAAAATTAAACCATAATAAACCATTGTTGATTCCTGACACCATAGTTTTAAAGCACACTACAATGAAAATTTCACCATCAACAGCAGAAACTGATAGAAGTATCATCTCAGTACCTTTCAATTTATCAGTACTCTGATCATATCAATGCAATAGGCAAAATTTAGTACCTTTTTGTACATAAAAATACAAAGGCATAAAATGGGTCAGCTGAAGACTCTGTAGTCCCTAAATATTAATGGACAAGAAAAGAAAAGCAAAAACATTTTTCCCCCAGATATACTTTCATATCTGAGCACTACTTTTTTAGTTTATTGAAAAGCCTAATTTTGTTATTCAGAACCGGGCAGGGGAGGTACTTCTGAGTACACTACACCAAACAGATCAGAAAAACTTTACCATGTGAAAGCACAAGTCCAGTGTGTGGGATCTGAACAGCTCTTACAAGTTTCAAAGTGACTAAGAACTCTTAGATCTTTATAGTAATAAATATTGTAGTGTATCAAGGTCCATTGGGAATCTCCACTCACATGTTATGCCATGATAGAAGATCAAGGTGTCAGGTCCATTTAGAATCAGCTTTGGGGGCTTCTTTTATGCTTTAATCTATATTGTGAAAAAGCAATTAACAATATTTCTGGGAGAAATACAGTCCCTTTGCCTCTCTCCCACCCGCAAATGTAGAACAGACTGCGAGGTACAAACACCAGCGTTCCTTTAGTTTGCATTTTCCCACAAGTAGATGGGGAAAGAAATGTGACATTGGGCAATCTCCATGCCTTAGTGAAAGCCTTTTTCAGCTTGAGAAAACATTGATAGTGGCTTTCCTAGCTGAAAATAAATGGTTACTGCTTAAAGGCTAAGAGTTTCTCTGTGAGCTACAGGGCTACCTAGGTGAACCATGAGCACAATTGTTTTCAACCAACAAAACCTTATCAGAGAGGTTGTGCCAATGGCCTCTTAAAACAGATGAGCCCCTCAAACAGTGGGGTGCTGTGTTCTGTGGCTTCTGTGATGTACACAGCATGAGAATAAGGGAAGATGGTTCCCAGGTCAGATGGATACCTTTTGCTGACTGTATGAACAAAATCAAGGTAGGCCATTGTGCTGGGGCTCCCTTCATGGTCCAGTGGCTAAGAAGCCACCTTGTAATGCAGGGGACATGGGTTCTTCTGGTCGGGGAACCGAGATCCCACCTGCCGTGGGGCAACTAAGCCCGGCGGCCACAACTCCTGAGCCTGTGCTCTAGAGCCCACCGGCCGTAACGGATGAGCCCTCGCGCCACAGCTTCTGAAGCCCGCGTGCCCCGGAGCTGCTCTGCAACAAGAGAAGCCACCGCAAGGAGACCCCGCTCACTGCAACCAGAGAAAGCCTGTAAGCAGCAAGGAAGACCCAGCACAGTCAGAAACTACATAAATAGAGTGACAAAATTTTTCTTTAAATCAACTATACTTCAAGAGGACTTCACCGGTGGCTCAGACGGTAAAGCGTCTGTCTACAATGCCGAAGACCGGGTTCGATCCCTGGGTTGGGAAGATCCCCTGGAGAAGGAAACGGCAACCCACTCCAGTACTCTTGCCTGGGAAATCCCATGGATGGAGAAGCGTGATAGGCTACCGTCCATGGGGTTGCAAAGAGTCGGACACGACTGAGCCACTTCACTTTGCTATATGTCAAAAAAAGGGGTAGGCTACTGTGGTCAAGACGGTGTTCAATAGTTTGGAGAAACTGAAAGTTTCACGGCATCATATCTTTGTTCTATCACTAACAAGGTAACAAAATACAAGTTATTAACCATCATTTAACCTTTGTTTATTTGTATAAATAAATAAACAATAATATCTTGCGATGGTAACCTGTCAAATTCTGAAAAATGATAGCTGTTAAGAGCTTCATTTATGTCTTGCAAGGATAACACATGAGTGTAGTCTAAAAGACTAAAATGAAAAGAAAAGTAGTCTTTTCACTGCTGTTCCCCAGGCACTTAGTTCCCCTCCTAGGAGGCAACTACTATGTTGATTCAACTTCAAAAATTTGGTTTCAATATCCCATGC